AGCTGTGGACCAGTTCTACCAGCTGTGGACCAGTTCTACCAGCTGTGGACCAGTTCTACCAGCTGTGGACCAATTGGACCAGCTGTGGACCAATTGGACCAGCTGTGGATCAATTGGACCAGCTGTGGATCAATTGGACCAGCTGTGGATCAATTGGACCAGCTGTGGACCAGTTCTAACAGCCGTAAACCAGTTATAACAGCGGTGGACCAGTTGGACCAGCTGTGGACCAGTTCTACCAGCTGTGGACCATGTAAGACCTCCTACAGAGCGGTGTTAGAGGACAAACAGGACATCAGGTCCTACCGTAGTCGGTGACAGATTTAGGAGCTCTCTGCTCCGTGTCAGCGTTCCTCTTCTTGTTCTTGGACTTCCAGGCATGGTAGACCTTCAGCCGGCGGTGGAACTCCTCCCTGCAGGCGGCCAGGAGCTCGATGTCTGCAGAACAAACAGAACCAGAGTCAGAACCAGAACCAGAGTCATAAAGTTCTTCATCCTCGGTGCTCTGAGAAACATCAGATTGAATAAAGAGTCAGAGGTTGTTTTTTTTCTGAACCAGAACTAGAATCTGAGGTTTAATCTTAACGTGGATGTTCCAGCACTCTGGTAAAAACAGAAGATCAAACTGATGGCTTTTCACAGATCTGACCTCAGAATGATCAGAGGTAAAAACCTCCTGACCCGACTGAACCAGGTTCAGCTCAGAACTCCAGCTGATCAGAGATCATCAGCTCTGATCCATGTAAACACTGAGGTGCTGCGCAGCGAGGCGTTTAACCAGGTCTACAAAAAGCCTTCAGAGTGAAGAAGAGGAGGGACTCACTGAGCCTTCATCCTCTGTGGGTTTATTCTCTGCAGCATCAACGTGACCTCATCTGTATTCAGACCAGTCCTCTGTCTGAGAGGCCTGATAAACACCAGCATACTCATCCTCAGACTCTTCATCATCACAGCCTCTTCATCATCAGAGCCTCTTCATCCTCATAACATCCTCATCCCCACAGCATCTTCATCATCTGAGCCCCTTCATCCTCATCTGTATTCAGACCAGCCCTCTGTCTGAGAGACCTGATACACACCAGCCCCTCTTCCACAGAGACACTTCATCCTAACATCCTCATTGTCATAACATCCTCATCTTCAAAGCCTCATCATCCTCATAACATTCTCATCTTCAAAGCCTCATCATCCTCAAAACATCCTCATCCTCATTTTTGTAACATGATCATCCTCAAAGCATCATCATCCTCATAACGTCCTCATCCTCAAAGCCTAATTATCTTCATATCATCATCCTCATTTTCAAAGCCTAATCATCCTCATAACATCTTCAAAACATCATCATCCTAATAACATCATCCTCATCATCTTCATAACATCTTCATACACCAAGCCTCTTCATACTCATTTTCATAACATCCTCACCCTCAAAGCCTCGTCATCCTCATTTCTTTAAAGCCTCCTCATCCTCATAACATCATCATCCTAAAAGCCTCAACTTCAAAACATCCTCACTCAAAGCCTCATCATCCTCATAAAATCCTCACCCCTCAAAGCCTCATCATCCTCATAACATCCTCATCCTCAAAGCCTCAACTTCAAAACATCCTCACTCAAAGCCTCATCATCCTCATAAAATCCTCACCCCTCAAAGCCTCATCATCCTCATATCATTAAAGCCTCCTCATTCTCATAGCATCCTCATCCTCAAAGCCTCAACTTCAAAACATCCTCACTCAAAGCCTCATCATCCTCATAAAATCCTCACCCCTCAAAGCCTCATCATCCTCATATCATTAAAGCCTCCTCATTCTCATAGCATCCTCATCCTCAAAGATTTATCATCCTCATTTTCACAACATCCTCACCCTCAAAGCTTTATCATCCTCAGACCCTCCTTATCTTCACAACATCCTCATTCTCAGAGCCTCCTCGTCCTCACCATCCCTATAACATCCTCATCCTCATTTCCATAACATCCTCATACTCAAAGCCTCCTTGTCCTCAGAATCTTTTCATTCTTCAAACCTCCTGCTGAGCACACGAGGGGGGGGGGGGGGTGCACAGGTTTAACTCAGCATTGAGGACAGAAAGTCTCCTTTACAGTGATTCAACTTCCAATTAAGAAAAAAAACCTGCTGAAAAAAATAATAAAAAAGACCAGTCTTCTTGATCCAGACCTTTTGAATTGGTTCTCCTGAACCGATCCTCCTGATCCAGTCCTCAATAGTTCTGAAGTTGCACAAAGCTTCCAGAACAAACACTGTGTGTTGTAGTAATAAACTTTTCTACATTCGACCAGTTGTGAAGGTGCAGTGTGTTTTCATTCTGTTATCTCCCTGATAACACCAGATTATTGTGGATTTAACAGGTCCAAACAGGAGTTCTGTTTAGAGATGGGTTCTGTTGCTCAGCCATCAACTCGCACATGAGCCACAGTGGACAGAAAAATGAAGTGGTGCTGAAAGTGATGAGAGGCAAACCTGTCCACTCAAAATAAATCAAACTAAAGAAGATCAGAGGACAGAAATGCTATGTCAGATAAAAATAATTTTAGAGAACGAAAATAAAGATAAACACGTTCAGAGAATAAAAAACACAAACCTTCAACAAATGAAATACAAAGTTCAGAACTCGGTTCTGTCAGGAAAAACTCACCACAGGAAGTATTGATGGCATCTCGCAGCTCTGCATACTTCCACTTGCTCAGCTCAAACTTCTTGGCGTTGGCTGCAGCCTTGGAGGCCTGGACCTGCGGACCTCTGACAGGAAACAGAACACCGACGCAGGAAGTCAGCATCTGACAGGTGCCGCTAAGAACTCTGGGATAACGGCAAGTTCAGGGCTGGAGTTCACCGAGCGAACAGGGTTGTAATTTTATTTAAAAACATTTTGTAGGACTATAAAATTAAACTTTACACAACGATAAAGATTTAAAAGTCCAAACAGGAGTTTTTATCAGAGTTCTGGAGAACGGTCATGAATAAAAGCAGTCGCTCTGTGAACTCCTCCAGCTGATAATCACCCACATCAGCAGGAAGTGAGGAAGACTAGGAGGAAGTTAGGAGGAAGAGGCTGGAGCAGACAGGAAGCAGGAAACAGATCTGTGTTACAAACCAGCTGCACCTGCAGCTCTGTCAACAAAACCAGAAAGCTTTAAAAACCACGTCTCTGTTTCCCATCAGAATCGAGGCACACACCTGTTCACACACCTGTTCAGTGTTCACACACACACACACACACACCTGTTCACACACCTGTTCAGTGTCCACACATACCTGTTCAGTGTTCACACACACACACACACCTGTTCAAGCACCTGTTCAGTGTTCACACACACACCTGTACACACATGACTGTTCAGTGTTCACACACACACCTGTTCACACACACCTGTTCAATGTTCACACACACACACCTGTTCAGTGTTCACACACACACCTGTTCACACACACACCTGTTCAGTGTTCACACACACACCTGTTCACACACACACCTGTTCAGTGTTCACACACACACACCTGTTCACACACACTCCTGTTCAGACACACTCCTGTTCAGTGTTCACACACACACACACACCTGTTCACACACACTCCTGTTCAGTGTTCTCACACACACACACACACACACACACACACCTGTTCACACACCTGTTCAGTGTTCACACACACCTGTTCACACATGACTGTTCAGTGTTCACACACACACCTGTTCACACACACCTGTTCAATGTTCACACACACACACATGTTCAGTGTTCACACACACACACA